TCTGACTTATCTAGCGTTCTCCATCTTAGTATCTGAGCTCATAGTAAGGCCACAGCATCACTCCTTTTACCTCTTACTGTCTGTTTGTAGTAGTGCATCTCCTTGGATGAGAAGTTCATCATTTTACCTCTTCTTATGCCAATGGAGTAAAAGTAAGTGCCCACTGCCACCTTGTTAATTCTCATGTAATAGTTCAGCTTTACGTTACTAAACAACACCATCTAAACTTGTCAAAAATAATGATAGAAGAAGACTTCAGAAGCAAATTCACTTACCCACTCCATCAAGTCCCAGGGCACTACAAAAAGGACCGAGATCAAATGAGAAAGAATTGAAGGTCCTGGGCAGCAACTTGTTTAAATACATTTGTTCAAGATAAGAAGGAAAGAGAAAATACACATTCCTTTGTTAAAGGGAAAGCTTTTTTGTGGCTAATATATTAGAGAAATTGTTCAAGAACAGTTCATCCTTACACAAAGATTACTCGTGCAATGCTGCCAAGGTCAGGGTCAGCCTGGGTTATCAGCCATGGACTGGTTAAGTGCCAGATGAGCACGATAAGCTGCCTTGATTCTCCTTTCTGCACTGCAGAGCAGCCAGTTTCTAATTGCATGCTGAGAAACAGGTAAGTGAATAACAATTTCCCTCAATTTAGAGATAAATTTTGCATTCTGACACACTTCTAGTTGTATAAATTCAGACATATGTAGGGCATAAATCCCCGAGGAACAGTGCCCTAAGTATCCAATCAAGAGGGAAAAATCATATAAAATATTGTCATTCTTTAAGGATAATTTTGAGTCAGCTCCCTGTGAGCATTTTTCTAGTACGTAGCTGCAACTGGCATTAAAGCACATTATCTATTAGTTAATGTACAAATTCTATGCTTTTGATTTACGACAGTGTTTCGGGAAAACAGTCTGAAACATCAGAATGTATTATTTAGCAATGATCTGTAAAATGTGCTGCATATCTGTACCTGTAATTGATCAATATTCTTACTGTGAGCATCAGGTACAGCACGACTAAGAACAAGTTGTATGCTCATATTGGTTATTCAATCCCTCAACTGTAACAGAGCTATTTCTGTACTTTGAATAAAAATAGATTAACACATCTCTTTTACAGCTTTGTTATCTAGGGAGGATAAATGATAAAGGAAAAGAATGCACGGTATTCCACAATGCCACAATAAAATTTGCTCACAGGAATCAGTGCTATTAAGAACACCACATTCTGCTGGGATTGTGGTTCAAGGCCTAATGATTAAGAGTAAGTTACCCTGAAGACTATCCACTAATGAGGATTTGTAAATTCCCAGTTTAATAATATGCAATGTTTTTGGATTTTTTCAAGAATTATTTGGGCTAAAAATGTTCCTTGGTATTCTCACTGACTGCAATCCATCAGAATACTACTAAAAACAACAAGACAAAAAAACATGTTAAAAAATCATCTATTTAGCTGACCTAGCAGAAGAAGGAGTTTGCACTGAAGTTAAATTTAGAAAGATCTAAATATAATGAAGTTAGCTTCAGGTATGCATGTCAACTTCCTCCATTTCCTTCTTTTTTCAGGAAATACATAATTTGTAAAATTTGATTGAAGAAAAAAACCCCACCAACAACCTTTTTTTTTCCTTAAGATTAGCTTTCATTTTGTAGTAATACATACAGTGTAGAAAATGTTCTGAATTCTAATGTTAATTATAATAAATATATATTAAAACTACATAGATATAGATATATTAATAATTTAAAAGCGTACCAGCACACCAACCAGTCAAGTGAAGGCTTAATGGGGGGCATTTTACTCGACGAAAATAATTGTGACATCGGTACAACATCCAGAAACAGTAAACTTGAACAAATGTGTAAGTCTTTGCAGTACTATGGTTTGTAGCCCCAAAGCCACAAGCATGAACGTATACGCCTAATTTGAAACACTTGAATAGTTCAGCGAAGGCTGCAGAACTGTTCATGTACCTAAAATTAAGTACATATGTAACAGTTAATATGAATGAAATGACAGATATTATTACTGCATCCCAATCAGCGAAGTAAGCCAATGAGAATCTGAAAACAATGAGTACATTACAGAGGCAAAAGCAAATCCTTGATGCTGTTCATAAACCTTTGGTGGGTACAAATTGCACGCACCTAAAGCCAGGTACTATATTGAGGTGAAAGGTGGTACTACCAGTGCACTGAACAGTATTTGCAGCAATTTGGTAAAAAGTGTCCCAGCTGATTCCTCAATTGAATTCAGCTGTGAAAAATGTAACGAATTATTAGACTGAAAATGCAGACATGGCACTGAATAAAAAAGCCTTATGTATTGCACAAAGTACTTTATGAATGCCCACAAGCGTAGGAATCATCTGACCTCACTGAAGCCATCAACATTTGGCATCTAGTCTAAGCTTCTTCAAACATAGGCTTACTTTATCATCAATGGAGAAAATTAGGCACCATATAAACATAGCTGTAGACATCCCACCATAATTACAGGGACTATAATAGAAGCAGCAAGACAAACAGACAGCAAGACAAGCAAACAAAGATGAGGAGTCCTTTCCATCTGAAGCTTTGCACGGCTGAAGCCTAGTGGCTTAGATTGCACAATGGGAACAAGAATCATTCCTTGTAAGGAACAGGAATAAAGATTCAAACATTTTTTTTTTTTTAATTATTAAATGTAATAATGGCCCATGTGTCCTACTTAGTAAGCAGTTACATTGACATACTGCGTATACATAAAGTCTGTGCTTTTAGAATGCAACATGAAACTCATCATTAAGAAGTCACTATCAATAACCACACCACTAACATGCTTAGGTTACTCTACAAATAAGGAAACAAGAAAATCTGAAATAACAACTCCAGCAAGAACTACTGAGAGCAACCATAAAAAATATGGTCGTAATAGGAATTATGCTGAAGAATGACGGTGAAGAAAAAATAAGTAGTCAAAAATTTAAATTTAATTTTAATGTTTTCTGATAAAGATATATGGTTCAAGACAGATTTCCTGGGGGAGTTCCTTAACTGACGGCCTATCACAGCAAAGGACACAACTTGCCAACCTAAGATGTGATGCTGAGATTCCTAAAATGTGCTATGGGGGTGGTGATATCTGTCAAGATGATATTTGTGGAGGAGTTCTTGAAAATAGCCAGGAGCTAAACCATTAAGGATTTCAAAACTAAGAGAGCAAACTTTAAAATCAAACAGCTACTTCATAGCAGACAAAGTAAACGAGTTAAGGTACAAGAGGGATGATCGTATTTGCTCAAGGCAGGATGGGAGTGTGTCACTGCATTCTGAACAGGCTGCAAGTGACAGAGCCGAGCTGCTGGAAACCTTTCTAGGAGGGAATTACAATAATCCTCTCCATCAAGAGGGCATGTGCTGCTGCTATGAGGTCATCACAGGATAAATAAGGGCACTGTCTGAATCAAGCACGCCACTAAAAAGACATTTTTCAATCTCATTCACTGCAGAAATCTCCACGGAGGCGAGGGGAATGAAGTGGACTTCAGCATTTTTACTACAATTTCCTGCCGCACTCAGATCCCCCAAATCAGCCTGCAGCGGCGTGTAGAGAGCGAGCGAGAGAGCAGCCTCCCGAAGACAACAAACGCACGCTGGCCAGACCTGTGCTTTCGCTGCGGCTGAGGAAGAGGTAGCCGGCGTGAAAACAGAGCCACGCTTGTGGAATCCCTGGAGTGAGAAGCACACAGCTCCTCATCGCCCAGACTGGGACGAAGCCTTTGATATTCAGCACTCCTGCAATACCCACCGCAAGCACGCACTTCGTGACAAGATTCTGGTGTCTGCCAAACTGGCCTTGAACTTCAGCACTGCTGTGAAGAACCCTAAAATATTTTTGTCCTTAATCTGATACTCTGCACAACAATATAGCTGGCTAATGCAGGCGTGAGGCTGAGCATTTCGAATATAAAGTACTTGATTTCCCCATGCTTGTGCAGACTAAGATTTCCTTGCTTTTGTGCACGTTGAATTGGCCTATAAACTGAAAAATATATTGTGAGTAATAGCACAGAAAACCTCCTTCTGTTCATAAATCATGAAAATATTAAACATGCATGCAATTCAAATGTCGGGGAGTTTTGGCTCATGAAATTGAGTTACGGTAATAAAGCATCGTTACACAGATTTTCTAATACCTTTATATAGCAGTTACATCTTGAAAGCATATACAATTATTCACATTATCTGTGAATGAAAGTATTCAAAATTAAGCACTCATCAGCCCCCAGTGAACAATAAATAACTTTCGTAAAGGAGAAAGCTTGTGTGATGTATACAGCACAGGAAACTTCTAGTAGCACGGTTATTAAAAGTAACAGCTTGCACCTCTACAGCCTGAGCGAGTTTGAAAGAAAGTTCAGAATGGAGTGGGGGAATTAGCTGATGAACTTCTGTCAACTATAGCAGTAGCCTTCATGAATAATTCAATATATGCCCCATCCCCTCTAAGTCTCAACAGACTAACAGCTGCAGCTCTCAAATGACAAGTGTTATTTTTTTCAGAAGCTTCTGAAAATAGTATACTGATTATAAAAGAATGTATATAATAAAATAAAGTTTTCCCGCACTGCTTTCACTTCTGACTTACAGTACCTAATGAAGTTTTACAGAAAAAGGAGGAATTTTCAAAGGGACTGTTCCGAGTTCTGCAGCAGGTCTACAGAAGCAGCTGGGAAAAGAATTCAGGTCCTCTGCTAAGGATCTGGTCCCTTACCTTTGCACAACCACACAAGTCACCCAGATTACTGCAACCCCAAAACCTCATTCAGAGCAGCTCTGTACATGAAAACTACAAAATTACACTTTCATAACATGGATCTTTATTTTGGCTTTGTACGAAGAGGAAGAGACTTTCTGGTCTGAGGTTTTTTTTGTACCGAATGTTTTCTGTAATGTTCTCCACTTCACAGTGACAATGTGGCACCTCAGGATGTCAGGAAATCGAGCATGCTTGGTGAAGATTCTCGTGTGGAACAGAGTTCCTCCCGATCTAACAGGACTGCAGCTAAAGGGGAGAGAAGCTTAAGCAGAGAGCAACAGAAGTTTACTTGGTGAGCGGTGCGGCTGCCTGCACCATCAGCCCGGTTCAGGAGGAGAAATGGCCTTCACAGAACGTCTTCTCACTGTCCAACAGCTCAGAGTATGAACTGCGCACACCTGCTTACGCATTTCTTTACAAGGCAAGGTAGGTAAGGAAACCCAAACTCGCAAGCTCTGACGGCTCAGGAAAAGACCTCCCACTGCCACCAAGGCCTGACCACTCAAAGGAAGGGATCGCTCAGATACGTTTTTTAAACAATTTGAGTATTTTTCAGTTTTCTGAAATGATTTTTCAGTGGCATTATGTAACGGCGGGTATTTAGGGAAGGAAAACATTAACTTAATGTAATGCTGAAATAGCTACACACGTAGCTGTTTCCTGATTTACTGAGAAGCTACTGTGTGCAGCACTTCTGACTGAAAGCAGTAGTGGACAAAATCTTTTTGATGATACAGACTGAGACATCAGCTTGCTGCTTTGCATTTTTTTTTTTAAATGTAAATATATAATCTCTCCGTCCATGAGCCAGCTTCTGTTTATAGGAAGTGTGCTCTTTGCTCAAGAGAAGAAAAATTTTTGGCCTAGCATGCTGTATATGGATATATGCCGTAAAAATTAAGCAAATATTGAAGATTTGAAGGTGATCTTGTCTCCAAGAGATAAGCTGAAAGGTTTCTTAAACATCTGCTTTACCTTCCTGTAATGAACTGTTTCTCTTCTCAGCTTCAGAAATGTCCTGGCTCTTCTTGTTCAACACAACGGCAAGATCCCTCAGCATTTGAATTGCCCAGTGGGTCTGGTCCCGGCATTACTTTAATTGGGAGACAATTTATTTAACTGACCGTTTGAGTCAGAGATTTCTGGCGCTTAAATTTTTTTAGAATTGGACTTCTGTCTCCTACTGATGCCTTGTAATAGAAACATAAAGAAAGCAGATTTACACGATGGATCGCAATTTATATTGCTAAATCTAATACAAAATACCGAACAGAGGAGTTTTATTTTATTCCATCAAAGCGATGTTTTCTATGCGGTAGAAATCTGCACAACCAGACAGCTATAATGCACATTATATTTTCAGCTGCTTACATTTTATATTTTAACAGTAACGTTTTCAAACAAACTAAAACAGAATTAGAAGACTTTGGAAACAACAAAGCTATCTGTCTGTTCTTATTTTCACATTTTTTAGCTAACAGAAATAAAAAATTGGAACAGTTATTGAGATAGTGTATTTGAAAGCTTAATAACACTGCCAATTTAAAAAAAATGTTAATATGGTATTAGATAGCTTTGTCAGTTGAGCTGTTTTCAAGATAACTTAGAAGTGCTACTAGCAAAGGGCTGCTTCATCCTCAGCCATCTTAACACAGTTAATATGGTTAATTTTTTTGAATATTATGAAAAGTACATTCAAAAATACAGTATTTTTCTTCAAAATAATAAACTCAACATTAAACCACTGTCTGTATTTTTGCCAAGGACAAACTGTAACAGAAATGGAAAGCCATAGTAGAATTGACCAGAGAACTGATTACTGACAGTTTTGTTTGTTGAATATAGTGATTGGATTCAAAATGAATCATTTGTAAGGTATCTCCTGCACTATATAAATACACGCAGCTTCTACTTATGAGATTTATGCAGGTGGAACGTGACTGCATAGCACAGCCAAATCTGTGTGCCGTTAAGAGTCAGTGGTCAACTCTGACTCCAACCAGACAGTCCCCTTCTCTCTTAGACTGTGGATAAGTATAACTTCTTCTTGAGTAATGAGTTGGTCCTGCATCCTGGTGCAAACAGATATAAAAGGATAAGTATATTTTTAAAAAGAAAATTTCCCCAAACAAACAGTGCTTTCACTAGGGGCAGTACTAGCGCAAGAAATCCAAGCTATCATTACTGGTGAAGAGCCCTGCTCCATGAATAATACATTTCTGGGGCCAGCTCACATCACAAAAATAGATTGTCTTTGCTCATGAAAGGTCCACATCTAGGCTGATACAGGGAAAAAATCTGCTTCACACCACTACGGAGGGTGGTACCCTCATTGGAAACGGGCTACTGGCAAGGCACTGGAAAGTACTTTCAAGTGAAAAAGCCCATACTGTTCCACTTTGTGAGCAGCAAGAAAATGTAATTTTTTAGTACTGATTTTACCTTAATTTTCCAGTGCATATTTATACATCAAACTAATCTCTTTCATGATACTTTCCAGTTAAGTTACTGTTAACAGTGTTAGAAAGTATAAAATGCCAACAAATACAGGACTTATTCTATGTATTTGTTTATTTAAAGATACACAGACATCTTTATACTGTCATTTAAGTAACTATCAATATTTATCCCTGTAACATTACTGGGAGAGTGAAAATACTAGTCCCTACTCGACAGAGATGAAAGTAAGGAGAATACAAAGCTAAGCGCCTTACTCTACGTAAACTAAAACCAGCAGCATCTATGGAACAGCAGCTCCCAGCCTATTGTTTTTCTGCTAATCACTTGATCATCTTTCCTTACGGATTTTTTTTTTTTCAGATGGAGGTTATGTGCTATGTATAAAATCAAAAGAAAATCAGTCTTGACTTTGCATCTTCTCACTTGTGATACATCTACAGCTAAGATCAGCATTGATATCTGAAACAGAGTCTGAAACTGGTAAACTTATGGAATAGAGTTCTATATAATAAATCTTCAGCTTTGGAATTCATCATCTGATTTGTCCAATCTGGATGTGTATAGCTTTCATCTTTTTTACCATATCAGGTTCCAAGTAGGATTGTGAAGTACCAGGCAAACAGATTTGAGATTCTTATGCTTAGCATTTGGATCGAAAAAGGATATATTGCTATGCTGAACTGCAGTTCAGTTTGTGAGTTGTTTATTTTTTTTACAAAGAAAGCATAATTAATAAACCTAAGTTTAAAAGAAAGGGCATTAAAATAAATCAAGATAAATACAAGTTGACATAACGAGAGGGTGTTACATTCCATAGTCTTTTGCTTGGTCTTTGGCCTCTCTCCTGACACTTCGTAGAAATTCTCGTGACACATATCAGGCTATAAAATCTACTCTTTTAGAAATGGATTAAATCATCCCATTCACTTCTCGCTGCCTGACTTACTAATAGGTGTGCTAGTCTCATTGTAATCTTCATCTTAAAAGTGTAACAGCTACACGGCAGTGCTATATCTGGCGTTGAACTGAGCCTGGCAATCAGTGCAGAGAGATACCAAAAGAAACCATTTGAGGACCCCTATCTCCTCTCAGCCTGCTTCTTACATTATGTGTGATAACTGACACACTGAAAATATTTATCTCTTAGGGATACACATATTAATGAATCCCATTGAAAAATAATTTCAGGACTAATTAAAAAAGTCAGCATTACTTGCAGAAACCCTAGAAAGATCTAGCTTGCAACAAAAAATAATATTAAATATATAGTAATGGAAACTAGGAGTTACAGTCATCTTCTGATCCAACTTGTCTATAAAACCAAGAAAAGTTATGTTTAGGATGCTTATATGTATTATTCCCATACCTGCATACACAAACAAATATGAAAGTACACAGAAAAAAACACTAAAAAATACTCTAACCGATAATATAAAAGAAATGTAAGCCTAGGACAACACGAGAAAGACTTTCATTTTATATAGTAACTGTATATATGTGAATAAAGAGCACCACGTGTTTATGGACTGATTATTTTTATGAGGTCTAACTGTGAAGAGACATTTTGACAGTTTTATTTACTGTGTAAGGCATACCCAGAGGCATGTAAGCATAGTTTGAAAACCATATATATTTCTATATAAAGGATACAGATATGTATCTATGTACATATGTATAAATATATGTACATCACCATCGGAAGTGATTTTACAGAAAAACCGCAAGCCTAGCTAACGCGGCAGTCTACCACTGTAGCATATTTCTAGATAGCCTCTTCAATATATATACCCTACCAATAACATAAAAAATGTGAGGTACAAAAATATGAATTCAGAATTTTAAGTATATAAAGGCATTCCCCCAAATGAAAGTGTTTAAAAATATGTCCTAAACCCACAAATTTCTTTAAGCATATTTAGTTTATGTTAATATATATATGCAGTTATTTTGAATGCAGCCAAGTGACTAAGCTCATTAAATTAGATTTTGATTTGGGGATTTAATGGAGATTTCCACTGTTTAAGACTTTTTTTTCTTTTTTTAGCTATAGATAAACAAGAACCTGGAGACACCAACCCCGCTGATCAAAGTACAATTCAAAGATAGAAGTTAGATCATTAAGGAAAATAATAGGATTACAGGCAACGTCAGCTTGTAAAACAAATTCTATTCTTTAATAAACATCCAGTGTGCCCATAAATATTTAATGTTAACAGTTTTTCAAAGGCTTAGGCTGTAACCTTAGTAGCCCAGTGCGGAATTTACTGTTGTCGTCCCTGCCCTCATCGGGATAGAGGTAGAAAGCAGCACAGCTTTAAAACCGCTGATTAATTTTCCTCTGGCAGAGACATGATGGGAACAGCCCATCACCTCATAAGCACTATTACGCTGGTTAGACACCTTCCATAAAGTTTAATTCACACACCAACTCTTCCTACTGAACACCGAGAAGAATCACTCAGAATCACAGAACGGTCGGGGTTGGAAGGGACCTCTGTGGGTCATCAAGTCCAACCCTCCTGCTGAAAAAATGCTGAAGCAGGGTCACCTACAGCAGGCTGCACAGGAGACGCAAGACATTCTAAACGGTAAAGCTGTCTGCGTTTCTCGTCATTCTGCTTCCTTTGTGTCTGTCCGTGCTGTTAACGGCTCGAGGCGGAGGCTGTCCGCTCACGCGTGTTCGCACAGCGTCATGCACTAAAGGCCCTAACCTGTTAGGACCCGTAGCTGTTATCACAACACAACAATAAGTTGTAACGTTAATTGTGTTTAAAGGTTTTTTTCTGTAGGCAAGATAGTCAAATTTTACTTTGCTATCTGCTTCTACTCAGCCTCTTACTGGACAAGTACTTTGCTCCAGAAGGAACACATACCCCCTTGTAAAATATCCTTCTGTAGGCTTCAAATGCATGCAGGATGCTTAAGACTGCGCATTTTTGGATGATCAGCAATATTTATAAATTGGA